ACCCACGACGTTGGATTAAGGATCACATTTTCGACGTTGGATTAAAGTTCGAAACAGCTATGAAAAGCCCTCCGTGGATCTGAGCTAGGATTACCAGCCGTCGGCCTGTGCTACACTAAGGAAGGGGAGTCAGTTCCCAGGAGACAAAGTGTCGGAGTCGGAGTGGGTGTGTCGGTCTCGGTCTCGGGATCACCCTAGCCTTTTTCGTTCGGTGGACGTTCGCCCGAGCCCGTCACAGAAACTGACTAGAGTACCCGAGCATCTCCCGCTTTTCAAAATGCCCTTGTTTTGTGCATACGCCACCCTGTGGAGACTGTTTTACCTTGTCTACGGGTCTGTCCTCGCGTTATGGGGGTGGAGCCTGTTGACGGCGTGTCAGTACCACGTGGGACCGCGCCATAGCGGAGGCGACGATCAGGTCATGCTAGGATCAATGGATGATGAGTAAACAGTACTTGTGCGACTTAGGCTAAAGGTATACAACGCTTGTTAGAGCGAGACTCTGACGAAAAGGTACATGGTAGGCGCGCCCCACTGAGCGGTGCCACGTTCGCTTTTGATTGCTCGACTTGACTACTTCAAAGACCAGACACCATTTTCCTCAATGATGTCAATCGGCCTGTTTTCATCGAGCGATCTTCTGCCTGCCTCGAGAATTGCGGTCGTCGCGATAGTGTTCTTCAGAGTTGGGAGTGGCCGCGCGTCTAGCTGCTCGAGTGTGACCTCGCCTGCGTTGAGCTTGTTGACGGCATCAACGAACTTCTCAAAAGAGATGTATCCGTAGCCGATCTGGCCTGCGAAGTTGCCCTCCTCATCGGGAGCGTACTTCATGTAAAATCTGTAAGTGGTTAGTACGCAAAGGGATGACTTTGCGATGTTTGGACTCACGGGTTGTACCAGAGGAGACCACCCTCGTCGTCAGTAACGTCGTAACCGCGCTTGGCCTGATTGACGCGGATTTCTCCTGTAGATGCCATGTAGTGGAAGTACTGATTCGAGTGTACACCGGCTTTCTGAGGTGCTGCCCAGCCAGCTGTGTAAACACCTGTTCCGACCTTGCTAGGGTCATCCTTCTTCACCCAGTTGGTGAGCAGTGTGATGGTATCCTCGGTAGCAGGATCGCAGCCCAGTCCTGTTGCAATGCCCTTTGCAGCACTAGCCATGACGCGTACTGGCTTCCAATCGGGGATCATGGACTCGTTGATGTCGATGTGGTGAGAATTGAGGTAGTAGGAGATGTCAGAATCGATACCCGCCCAGGCCTTGAACGTCTCCAGTTGGCTCCTGATCGAAGTATTAGCAAATAGAGTCTTCGATTCAGTAGGGGTTGAATGTACTTTGGCTGGCTCATGTAGGAGTAGAAGTAGTTGAAATCGCCCAGCTTCTGCGCCCGGAAACGCGCGTCAGCATACGCAGGATCGTATCGCTTGTGGTGCTCAATGTAAACGAAGACATTGTGTTTCTTCGCAGCCGCCAAAAGCGCCTGGTGATGTTCCAGGAGCTTCACCGCGGGCTTCGTGATGAGGACGTGGATTCCGCGTTCGATGGCGTACAGAGCGATCGGGTAGTGAGTGGTGTCAGGTGTGAAGATGGTGACTATGCAACGTCAATTGGAGGAGCCAATTAAGCGGATGTATATTGCAACTCACTGGCACTGCCCTTTGGAAGCGCGTCAATCGCTGTCTTGTACGCATTCGGATCGGTTTTGCCTTCCTTTGGGAACTCCTCAAATGACACGTCCAAGTTGTTGTATGCCTCGGAAATGTTCTTCTGGAGATGCTCGCCTGGCAAATATCAGCATGCCGGACATGGTGAAACCGTCCAGATGCTGTGCGACTCACGGATTGCGGGGAATTTGCCGCCCGATGTGCCCACCATAGACAGCTTGCCCACTTTGCCGCGTCTTCGAAGGTCGAACAGCGTCAGGCCTACGACACCGACCTTCTTGTCCGACTTGGAGGCGCCCCCTCCGACGAATCCTGTCGTGTACTCTCCAGTACCGACCTGGAGTGCAATTAGCATTGACATGCGACGCGCCGCAGATGTGAGGGGCAACGTACCATGAGTACTTCTACTGGCGCCATGTTGCAGTAGTTTTGCAGGTTTGAGAGATTTTGTAGATGATAGAGAGGATTGACAGCTACCGTCTTGATCTCGAGCAAGATGAGACGAGACAAGAGCTGGAATTGAAGGGGATGCGCTGCTTCAATACCCGACACAGCTTCGTCGGCCTTTGACCACTTATCGATAGCGACGGAAGATATATGACCCAGCAACGCGATGAGGGGCACGAGGCCTCACGCGTGCTGCCGGCAGCCGCGGCCGGATGACGTTGCATCATTCGAGGCCTTGGTCATGGTGGGGGCTGTGTCTTGCTCAGCGCGGCGGTTTGCATCTGTTTCCGATGGCCGTGGCGTCTCCAGGCCGTCGAGGAAGCAGCGAGGCTCGTCTCGACATGGCGGAATTGTCTTGGAGTAATTCCTTGGGGCACGCGCGGTGGTTGGCGTTTATTGCGTTCCGAGGGGTAACGAGGTTCCCCAGAGGCCAAGGAAAGAGCGACACTGGCTTCCCCCACGCGCGTGCCCACCTGCTATTGGTGGAAGAATGCCACCCCGTCCACGACAGCCGTGCTGTGCCACTATGTTCGACAGCTAACCCTGCCCCAGGTGCAGCTCTATCCCATCAGACAACCGCCGACTTTAGTCACTCTCATAGAAAAGGCCGCAGAATGTCCCGCATTTCGCCCAGTGGTGTCCCGAACTCGCCAGATGGCCCACAGCCCTGCACCCAACCTCCAGCCTAGCCCTCGCCGTTGCGGTCCTTGGCGAATCAAACATGACCATTTGACGAGATCTTGAACGGTAGAGCCACTGAGACACGCCAGTCCATGTGGGATGGGAAGTGAGCTCTGCCGAACTTAGCTCCTCTGACTTACTTTGCGCCGATTACCTCCATCTCGCTGCTATATTAAAGCTGACCGAACCCGTGTGTGCATCGTCTTTATTGTTCGCCCCTTCCTCTCCCCCGAAACTTCCGTACTCATATATTACTTGCCTTGTTCTTTTCCAGTCTCAACTCTTCTTGACTATACATACCGCAAAGATGACATCAAACGGAAACGGGGCCAATGGCCACTCCAAAGAGCGTACTCCTCTTCGGCCAGGCATTTACTCGCCCACGATGACGTTCTTTGACCCCGAGACCGAGGAGCTAGATATCCCTACCATCAAGAAGCACGCAGTACGACTTGCCGAGGCTGGCCTTGTTGGTCTCGTCACAATGGGATCCAACGGAGAGGCTGTCCATCTGTCACGGGCTGAGAAGACCGCTGTCACGCGAGCAACCCGTGAGGCCCTCGACGAGGCTGGCTACCAAAACGTCCCGGTCATTGTCGGAGCTTCTGAACACGGCATAAAGCTTACCATCGAGCTCTGCAAAGAAGCAGAGGCGGCGGGTGGCGAGTACGTTCTTACTGTCCCTCCCAGCTATTACCGCTATGCTATCGATGAAGACGCCATTTACGAGTACTTTACCAAAGTCGCAGACGGCTCACCACTCCCAATCATTCTATACAACTACCCGGGAGCTGTTGCCGGCATCGATATGGACAGCGACCTCATCATCAAGCTTGGAAAGCACCCAAACATTGTTGGTACCAAGTTCACATGCGGTAACACTGGCAAACTCACCCGTGTCGCCCTTGCTACCAACGCCTGCACAATGAAGAGCGAAGGTAGTGGCTATATGGCCTTTGGTGGCATGGCCGACTTCACAGCTCAGACTGCTGCTAGTGGCGGGTCGGGAATCATCGCTGGTGGTGCGAACGTCCTGCCGAAGACGTGCGTCAAGGTCTGGAACCTATGGGCAGAAGGCAAATACGACGAAGCCATTGAACTTCAGAAGGTACTCAGCAAAGGCGATTGGGTTCTCACAAAAGCAGCTATTCCTGGAACCAAGTCAGCACTCCAGTCGTACTACGGCTACGGCGGATACCCCCGCCGGCCACTCAAGAGGCTTCCGCAAGAGAAAGTCGATGCAGTTGCCGAGGGCATCAAGGAAGTTATGGAGGTGGAGAAGAAGTTATAGTTGCTTTCAGTTGTGTTTCCTTGCGTTCATGGTTAGTTGCACTGCCTTTTCTCCGCCCATACTTGTTGACATTGGGGGGCAAAAGCGTCTGTCTGCATTTACGATGCTTCCGTTATCATGTACAGCCGTACCACAATAGATATCCTTTTTGGTTCTTCTCGTCGTGGGATTCGTTTTTGAGTGGGGCAATCCAACACAGCTGACTGCCCCGGAGGTTCCGAGCTTGCGCCTTCCTAGCTGCATCGTCACGTGCTAGCGCGAAAACATCGCACCTGCCTTGCAGTCCCATGCACCATCGTAGAACAGCAACACACTCCCTCACGCCACCTTTGCCTGCCTTCAGTCACCATCTCTCAGCCTCACCGGTCGGCTGCTTGCTGCCATTCCAATACCCGGTCGCGTCTGGAACCTAGCTGCCCTAGCGACTAGCGACGCAGCATCCTTGCCATGGCGATCGAAATATCGGACGCAAAAACTAGATCGCACACCAACGTTTCGCCGCCTTTGCCATTCCAAGGTTTTCTGCCCGAGCGGTAGTCGCGGTACCTATCACAGCCGGCGTTTTGTCTCGCATGTTGAGCTCAGCCTCGGCCGATGCCGAAGCTTCTGGCCATGTGAATGTGACACGGCACATACGTGCGTCCCCAGCTTAACAGCTGTAAAGTGTACATTGGCACTTTGGAAAATATCTACAGTTCGCTGGCCTGATTGCAGCACAGCTAATCGCCCAAAAAGCGCCATCCACAGCTGCATGCAGCTGATCGCATGCGCCTGTTTACGTGTCTTCATAACCACGCGTCGAAAAAGAAATTATAGTTGTACAACGTTCCAGCCAGGTATCCAGCCCGCAGGCTTGTCCGAGTCGCTCCAGACGCCGAATCCCACAAACTTGCTTCGATTGATTTGCGGCTCACTTATATGGCCAATCCGTTTCCTAAACTTGTCCAGCGATACAAGGATAGGACTTCTCGCCGCTTCGCAGGCGTCATCTCTCTGGCGTGGCCGTGGCCTTTTATTTGCGCTAATGTCGAGATCATCACTTTGCGGAAGTTTCTCTGTGTCTCGTTAGCGCTGTCACATCCAGAGACCGGAGTGATGCGGCTTACCTGATACTCGGTGTTCAGAGTCACAACGGCCGCCTCGTGTGCCCTGACAATGGTTTCGCACGCTCGAATAACCCCGTCATTGGTCTCGGTCGATAGCTTGTCCGCTAGAAGGAGCAGGATCAGACTTCCTTGTAGGAGATACATGCCGAACAAGTAGGGCATAAACGACAGATCCGGATCAACATCCAGTATGACTTCTACCGCATGCGCAGCGGATATCGCGTTGGAAGTCGCCGCAAGGAAGGACTGTGAGCAAATCCACATGTTGTCGTCCTCCAATAGTGCCACCGGATCCCATTTGCCGTGTAACAGGATATGCAACACGTGCATGATGTGGGTGGCATATGCCGCGACTTTCCTCGTCTGATGCATCCACTCACTCCGAACTGGGTCTGGGGTGCTGTTGGCCTGCGCTTCCTCATTCGAGCCGCAGCCATGTTGCGCCTTGAAGTCCTCGATGCTGTACGCGTACCGTTCTAACTGGCGGGTGATTTCTGCCTCGTGGAGCTCCCAGGATGTCCGTTGGCCGAATCTTGGATGGTTCTTCTGTGCATTCAGATCTACAATGTCTCCGAGAATCGTCATCAAGGGCAGGAAGAAACCGAAAATGTCATGCCTGTAAAAGTTAGCCTCGTGTTCAGACTCATCGTCATGCGCCAAAGAAACTCCCGCTAGAGTATCTTTGGCCGCGGTCCATACGTACGATGTGCACTCAAAATTGAGTCCCCGTTTCCGTGACCCTGGGTGGCCAGTGTAGAACTCGCCCGCCTGCCAGAGGGTGTCAGGAACCGGCTGGAACAAGTCCTCGCATTCGTTGTCAAGCATCGCCAACGGTCGGTTGTAGCAGAGTCCAAGGTGCCGGTCAACCATGTACAGCAACCACCACAGTCGGCGCCTTTCTTCTTTCATCTCTTCCACGATTGCTGCAGATGGTGTGCCCACGGGTGCCTGCGCGCTGGCGCCTTCCGGCATACCCGCCTCAATCTCCTTCTCTGTTGCAGCTGTCTCTCGCTCTTTCACGGGTCCTTGTGGCAGTTCTCGGCCTAATTTTAGTTCTCGAGCCAGCGACCATGCCGCGTTCCACCACCGCAAAGAAGCCGCTTTGTATTCGCTCGCGGACGTCACGACTCCGAGGTTGATGTACGTAGCGACATCATCCAGGGTGCTGGTGGGTGGCATTGCTCCGTCGGGTCTTCCATCGTATCGTCCTATAGCTCGGTCAACCCCGAAAGCGTCGTGTGCGGCAGATGTCAAGCCAGGTCCAGGAGCGAAACCGTGAGAAGATGGAGAGTGGACAAGAGGCTTGAGCAGATCTACTGTAAGCTTCCACAGCTTCTGGCTGATGATAGCTCTGGCTGACGGCGAAGATGTCAGATAGCTCGCTTCACTCGTCTGGGCAGCGACCCATAGCATGCTTGATAACAGAGCGGGGCTGCATTTCCGGGGCTTGTGTTGTCGGAGGAAACTTCGCTTCCTGAAAACGGATCCGAGAATGTACGGTGAAACCGGTTCCATGAATACCGACGAGGAACTTTGGAAGTAGAATTCGAGGAGATCGCATGCGGTGGTGACATTGAGTATCGGTCCTAGGTGGGGTAGTAGTGGCCCCAAAACAGGGTATCTGCAAGCGGCGATGGCGGCGCCGTTCTGGGAGGAGTTCGCGCTCACTCCAGACTGTGGTGATCCGGTGTCTACAGAACCATAGCTGTGTGGAGACGATTGCCTTCCTGTTGCTTGGTACTGCATTGGATACGTCATGTTGGCGTACTCCGGAGGGATCGAAACCGGTGTACCATTAGGACCAGGAATAAGGTGCATGCCTGTGACTGTCAGCGGCGCTGCTAATATACCACGTATCGCAGATACGCTGGGAGGGGTTCGAGTAACATACGAGACAAACGAGACATGTACACAGACTGGGAGTTTTGTGAAGCACTCCGAGCTCGGCCATCGTACGTACCGTTCATGGCGTACATCAGCTCTTCGCGAGGCATCTCGGCATGCATTGCCGGGTACGCAGCACCGGAACCAAGAAGCAATGGGTCGATCATCATGTGGTTGACAGGTGGATCGAATGTCGTGCCAGGGTTCAGAGCTTGCCAGTCACCTGCAGGCAGACCACCTTTGCCGGCTGGGAAATGTTGTACAACTGGTGTTGCTTCAGACTGCGACCAAACATCTTCGTCCATCTCTGCCATTACGCCGGGCCTCTCGTAATAACTTGAAATCCCATTGGGGGTTTGCGGACTACCACTGGCAGCTGCCTCTTCTCGCTGCTTCTGGATGTGCCTCGGGACCTGCGACTCGTTAGCTACTCGATGCACTTCATATGCGCGATGTACACGCGATACCGAATGCTTCACGTTGAGGGACAAGGTTGTTGATGGTTGGAGGTGCTTACTTTTCCGCGTCGTTTCTTTTCGCGGTTGTACTGGCAGACGTACTCGAGCTCTATGCAGCGCGAACACGGAGCTTGGCCGTTGCATCTTGTTCTCATTCGATGGCAATGATCGCATGCTCGGCTCACTCTTCGCTTCACGGGTGCCGAGCCACGACGTTCAAGCTTGGGTGTCTCTGCTGTTGTGGTCTCCATGGTTGCGTCTGTGAGTTGGGATGACGACTATAACTTCAACCGGCCGCCGTTGTCCCTACATAAGATCAGCATCAGACGGCCCCCACCAAACACGGCCGACGTACTACTTTGTTCCAATGTGGCGACTCAATTCGAGAGCAGCGATTTGCGAGGGAACGGCAGTTTGTGCACGCGGGTGACGTCGCGGGAGTACTTGAGGACGAAGGAGTCGGTTGCCGGAAATCTGGGGACGACCACGGGTCATGCGATACTTGGGGAGCATATGTGGGCCTCCGACAAAGCTTTGGGTGCCGAGGGTACACCCCGACTGTGAAATGTCCTAAGCTGCAAAGACGATTCCAAGGGTCAGTGTGACGATCTGTGGCTTGAAGATTCCATGCGTCCACGCGGGCTTCGAGAAGCGAGATCAACTGGAGAGCAATATCAGAAGACGCAATGTTTAATTCGAGCATTCATGGATGTATGAAAGCTACGACCCATTGGCTACGGCAACCAGGCTCTGGGGCAAGACGTGGCAAGGGTCAGGAACACCGTAGCAGGGGACCGTAGCAAGGGTCAGAAAATCCTACCGCATGATTCGAGCATGGCTAAATACAAATTAGCCGGTGGGAGATGCGCTGCGCAGCGTCGGCGCTAGGAGCGAACCGCAGAGAGCCCCGCTTCTTCGAAGTTCACACCGCACGTCAGCTTCCCGCCAATCCTTGCCTGCGCCGACTACCAATACCTCCTGGCACTTTCTCCAGGTTGTGGCTTGTAGCGCCTGACCATGAATAAGACCCCGAAGCTCTTGCGCAACATGCGTGTCGGAGGTATCATCTTAACGCGCCCGCTATAGCCCCCCTTCGCCGATATTTGGCGCGCCACATTGGGAGCGCTGCTGGTTTGGAATGCCCTCATCTGCTGAAACGGCTTCCGTCCCGTTTCATGGTACCTGGACATCATTGGCGTGCCCTTGCCCGTCAAGGACCAGACGTCAGAACGTCAAAAATATGCACGCTGCCATGGCATCTGAAACCCGATACCTGATACCGACAACGATCTTCTCGTGAAGGCATGGCACGACCTTTGCGCTACGCCCAATGATATCCACACCCGGTCCCACTCCCTTGAAGGAGCGTGCGTGAGTCTCGACCCGCGGACAAGCTTATATTTCAGTATCCACAAAGGAGTCATTAGTACTGAGCGTCGCCGGGCTGCTAACACGAGTATTCGAGCGCACACCGCGACAGCTACGTTGGTTGAAGCGTGAGCTAGGTGTGTCGGTGGATTTTGGCCAAACTTTGTTATGTGGCTTCGCGGTCCCCGCCATGCAGGAGAAGCCGAGCAGTCCTAGGGCCTCCAAGCGACGTTGTAGTGCCTGCAAACCCACCTCCGATATGTGGTCGGCCCAACGTCACCGTTTTTCGTCTATATGCGGAACACCGCGAACTGGCCGTATAATCCTTCTGCCAGCACACCAACAACGTGAACGGTCCAACGACTAATGAACTGGCCGCAATAGCTCTGGAACCAAAAGTCCAACATTGGATCCGCTTATAACTTCATCGATCGGAGACTATCCAGGCATCCTGCGCTTATCTCAGGTACGCGCTACACGGCAAGTTCTCGAAGACTCAAACTTGGAAGCCTCCTCGGGTGTCTTGACCAGTTCGTCAGAGTCTTGCAGCTGGGTCATCAGACCCACGTGGGCGCCATCCGTTGAACAAAACTCTCCTCAGCTGAAACCGTTGGCCGATGGAAAGGGATGGCACTGCTCCCTGGCTCCGTGCCAACGATCTTCATAATTCTGCCCAATTTTGTCGTCACATACTGAGAGTTTGATCCACACCAAGACGAGGGCAGCGCCTGCCGGCCCGTTGAACTAGCTTGCAGCCTCGCAGAATATCAGATGCTGCACCACCACTGAAGTGTCGACTTCTCCGGCCCTACAGGTAGACAGTAAGATTGCTTCATTCTGAGAGGCTGCGCGTTGCGACCACGAGGGGGGCCCGCAATACATCTGCAAGTTCCAGTGCGAGGGCCCGCACAATGAACATGCATAAGGGCAGGGCCCCTTCACTCTGGCTTCGACAAGATGACCAATCTGTGCCTTCTGGGTCCTCTCGCCTGCAGACAGGCGCCAAAGCTCATCCTCTTTGTGTCAAGCCCCGAGACGTGTGACCATACAGCTTTGGCCTTCCTATCTCTGTAAGAGTCAAGCTGATGCAGGATCCCACTCACATTATACTCATGAACGCAATTGTCCGGATCATAATCTATTGAAAGCCATGTTTCCCCACAAAAGATGGGTTTGGAATGCAGTTTGGCAACTGCGTCTGCTCATGCAGTTCGACAGTTCGAGGCCTCAAGGCTTATTGCCAGCTTGCGACGCTTCACTCGCCCTGGCTTATTCACCACTCACAGACCGGATCCCCGCACGTATTTGCTGGATTTTTGCTCCTTTCCTGTAATATGGAACGACATTATTCCAGCCACACACAGAGGTTGTTCAATATGGGCGGGAGGCGTGTTCAGTGCATACTGTACTTACTGCTAGATCAAGGATTCAACACCAGGACACTCGTGATCAAGCGCAGTTGAGTTCACTATGACCATCCCCAGACTATATACTCCTGAGCAATATGAGCTGGAACTCAGACTCGCTAGTTAGGTACTATGGCATGCAGCAGGACCTGCCTCTGTCATGTACCCCAGATTTTCCAACCAGTGAAGCCGGGAACGTGGCCTACACCAAACCTGGGGAACTGACAGCGTCGGCTGAACGGACGGTCCACCCGCTTCGCAAAGACGATGCTTGTCTGCCCTGTAAATCTTATGACCCGCTTCGCTCGACTATACTCTAGGAGGTGCGATGTTCACCGTTGAGATCGATCCGTGACAGCTCTGCGGGGGCGCCGCCTACCGCGTCGGCTATGGCAGAGGCGAAATAGCCGTAGTATAACAGCTACGGCTCGAAACCTCACAGCTGGGGCATCAGGCTTCCTCAGACCCTTGAGGCTTAACCGGCTCATTCTAGCGAGCCTAACCGTCGTTGCCGCCGTCGCAGAGCAGCGTGCGATCATGCAGCCTGCAGCTGATCGAGCAATAATGCGGGGAGAGTATCAGACTGGGGAAGGACTAATGGTGTTGCGGGACGCAAGTCTGACGCATGCTGCATGGAGGAATAACTGATGAAAGGGGCGACGCCTGTTGGTGGCTCAAAATAGTCCGTCCTGCTGATACAGGTGCAGGCACCACTATGGGTGAGATGCAGGTGCTCTGCACAAACCCGGGGCGATATACATGCTCCCCTGAAGTGATAAACACTGCGCGTTCGCCCTTCATCAAACCAGTCAGCAGCCCTCGCACTTGCTCTGGGAACACGACTGATCCTTCTTCGAGCCCCTGTGGAATGATACCGGGAGGCGACGTGTTCCGTACCCGTGGTTATGTCCTTCCATTCACGGATAGGCCGGGTGAGCTGATGCTCCCGGCACACAGGAAGCTCTGATGTCTTTGAGACGAGTAAGATTCAACCATGCCTAGGCGCGCGTTCTTTCTGAGGCAATTTCTGATCCCTCGCTTGATGGCTGAGTCCATGGCTGAGTTTCCAAGTTTCGAGCGGGTGTCACCGCATGGCCACCGTCACGGCAACAGGCGATGCCGTCCGGATCTTGCCAGCCACCTGAGCGGTAGGCACCAGCCCATGCGCGTGGCAGACACTGTCACAAACGCTTGGTCCCTCTGGCAATTAACAGACACTAGATCTGTCTGTTGGGCCCAGACTGACGGTGAGCGTTAGCACACAAGCTGCCATTAGGTCCTTTTGTTTTTCAAGTATCTGAGTGCAGCTGCATCGGCACTTGGTGGTAGCGTACTCTGGGAACAGCCGGCTTGACACTAGGCTACCCAGCTCTGCGATCGCGAGCAAGCAAGCGTTCCTCAGCTCCGACACCGTACGGGCAGTTTCCCGGGCTCAAACAAAGTCTTGGGACATCCTTCTCGAACGTTTCAGACAAACAAATGTGCAACTTGACAGCAATCGGAGCGTTCGCGGTGTTATACGGGATCAACGGGCCTGACCTCGCGAACAGACACTAGTATTGTACTAGTGTAATGTCCCGTCAACCGTGATGAGCCCGCCACTTTCCATCCATCATTTGTTAAGTTACACCCCTGATGACTGAGTATTACGCAACCAAGCTTGTAAACCTGGATATTCCCTACTTTGTTGACATTCTTGGCAGGCCGCATAGACTTTACCTTTTAGGCTTAGAGTTATGGTGTCGTTCTGTGACTAAGTAAAATGATGAATGGTCTTGAAACTCACCCGAGCTCACGCGAGAAAATGCCAAGGTGTAAAAGTTCCAAGTGGGTCATATTCACGAACGAGCAGTGGGAATGGTGCAGGTCTACCCTGACTTGTTTGGCGTTTCGTAGATGGTACCTGCAGTGATGCGATGGTGGCGCAATGTTGTTTATAGTCTGGAACTTGAGGGTGTTAGTTGGCGTGAAAGTGTGCGCCGTCTAGGACAATTGTAACAAAGTTCGGATTCGGGTTCGTGGTGCGCTACTAGGTAGACTCTAATTTGACTTGATCCGATTGGTCAAGCGCCCAGAATCCTTGGATGCGATTGGCTACAGATCAAGGGTTTCAAGGTTGCTTGTCCGCTCCTCTCTCACATGAAGCACCTTCATGCCCAAGGACCTTCACTATGACGAGACGTCATCTGTAGTCATTTGGAATATGCAAAAAT